GCATGGCAGCTAAGGAGGTCACAAGCAGGTTGTCCAGCGAATTCAACATCTGGTTCCTGGACGATGGCACCCTGGCAGGGACACAGGAATCCCTGCTAGGAGATCTTCAGCTAGTGAAATCTAGGGGAGAGGAGTTAGGCCTTACACTAAATCCATCAAAGTGTGAAATCACCTCATCCAGCCAACCAACCATAGATGCAGTACGAATCTTATTGCCAGGAGCCCAAGTGATCGCTCCCACCGACAGTGTGCTGCTAGGGGCACCTCTGGGCTCGAACGCCATTGAGGTATTCCTCGAAGAAAAGCTTAAAGACCTGAGGAGAATTGAGGCGCGAATAGGGGCTTTGGATGCTCACGATGCTTTGTACCTTCTTACAAGGTGCCTGGCCTTGCCCAGACTTACCTATTTCCTCAAGTGTGCTCCTTCCTTTGACAGTCCAAAATTAACGGAATACGACTCACTCCTAAAGACAATAACTATGAAAGTGTTAAACCTCTCCCTGCAAGATGACCAGTGGGACCAAGCAACGCTCCCAGTTAGACTCGGGGGTATAGGTATTCGCAAGGTGACACAGTTAGCATTGCCGGCATTCTTATCCTCGACCAGTGCTACAAGTGAATTAGTGAAGGAAATACTACCAGAATACCTAAGGAACTTCATTGGGATTCGTGATCCCAAATTTGTGGAAGGAGCTGGTCAGTGGGACACTCTTGCCAATTCACACACCCGACCAACTTGTCCAAACGACGGTAAACAGACCAAATGGGATAGCCCCATAGTGGAAAACATCGCCAAAGCATTGCTGGACACAGCTTCTCAGAAGGACAGAGCGCGTCTCCTAGCTGTGCAAACCCCCCATGCTGGGGACTTCCTGTTGGCAGTCCCTAATTCCGCCTTGGGCACCCGCCTGGACCATCGGGCCCTAAGTATTGGTGTTGCTCTGTGCCTTGCCGCCCCTATCTCCACCGAACACCGGTGTGTTTGCGAACATGCACGGGCAGACCAATACGGCAGCCATGGTCTTATCTGTCGTAAGACACAGGGAAAGATTGCCAGACACGAAGCAGTCAATGACATCATCAAGAGAAGTTTGGCTTCAGCTGGGTGTCCAGCACAAAGGGAACCCCAGTTGTGCAGACCTAACAACAGCCAAAAACGCCCAGATGGAGTCACCCTGCAGCCATGGAGGGAAGGTAAACAGGTCGTATGGGATTACACCTGTGCATCTACATTGGCTGATACCTATTTACGTTAGAGCTCAGCGGAGGGAGGTGGGGCAGCCACCTTCAGAGAGACCCAGAAAATCCACAAGTACAGAGACGTAGAACGTTGTTACAGGTTCGTGCCGATAGGCTCTGAGACTCTGGGCGCCTGGGGTAAATGTTCACTCAAGTTTTTATAGGAGGTTGGTGAGGAACTCATTGGGAAAACTAGAGACCCACGAGCAGCCAGTTTCCTGTTCCAGCGCCTCAGTGTCGCAGTTCAGAGGGGAAATGCGTGCTGTATCCTGGGTACACACCCAACCTCCGAGGAGCTGGACGAGGTCTTCGAACGCTGATTGTTTAATTGTTATATATTTGTGTGTGTGTGTGTGTGTGTTCTCTGTAAACTGTAGCATTGCAATAAAATAAAACAAAACATACAAAAAAATAATAGGGGTGGTAGGAGAGGAAAAGAATAAATTATTCAGTGAGAATCCACAAGATCTTCTCTGAATGCTCTTTGTTTTCTTCTTCGAGGATGTGGGTCCCTGCAATTGCACCAGAGGTGGTACCCCTAATATGTATATATGTATATTTATATATATATATATATATATATATATATATATATATATATATATATATATATATATATATATATATATATATATATATATATATATATATATATATATATATATATTATTAAATATGACCGAAAAAGTAAGATTAATAATTCTAACACGAATTTTCTCAATCTTTCGTACATTTCTTTTCACTGTTGGAGGTAAATCAAAAATCAATTCTCCAAAATTCATTTTTATTTCTAGTCTGACGCGACACGAGCGCGTTTCGTAAAACTTATTACATTTTCAAAGACTTTAGTTTACAAATACACAACTGAATAGAACTGATTGGTTGATTGATGAAGATTAAGCCACCAAAAAGGTGGCACGGGCATGAATAGCCCGTAAGTGGTGGCCCTTTTGAGCCATTACCAGTATCATGAGCTGATACTGGAGATCTGTGGAGGTGCAACTGCACCCTGCGTGACTGGAGATGTCTCCCGGACCAAGTGGTGACTGAAGAGTCGAGAGAGAGAGAAGTTTAAGCCACCCAAAAGGTGGCTTGGGCATGAATAGCCCTTAAGTGGTGGCCCCTTTTGAGCCATTACCAGTATCAATAGATGATACTGGAGATCTGTGGAGGTGCGACTGCACCCTGCGTGACGGGAGATGTCTCCCGAGAAAAAGAGAAGATGATTGATGAAGATTAAGCCACCCAAAAGGTGGCACGGGCATGAATAGCCCGTAAGTGGTGGCCCTTTTAAGCCATTACCAGTATCAAGAGCTGATACTGGAGATCTGCGAATGCACCCTGCGTGACTGGAGATGTCTCCCTTGTGAATGTGTTAAGATGAAGATGAAGCAACCCAAAAGGTGGCACGGGCATAAATAGCCCGTAAGTGTGCCGATTTTAAGCCATTACCAGTATCAAGAGCTGATACTGGAGATCTGTGGAGGTGCGAATGCACCCTGCATGACGGGAGATGTCTCCCTTGTGAATGTGTTAAGATGAAGATGAAGCCACCCAAAAGGTGGCACGGGCATGAATAGCTCGTAAGTGGTGGCCCTTTTGAGCCATCACCAGTATCAATAGATGATACTGGAGATCTGTGGAGGTGCGACTGCACCCCCTGCAGTAGGAGGGACGACGATTGATTGATTGATAAAGATTAAGCCACCCAAGAGGTGGCACGGGCATGAATAGCCCGTAAGTGGTACAATTTTTATTTTCCCAGTGTTCTGAGGTTGCATTTAACCATCAAGCTGTTATCGTGGGGGATGAATAGAACTTACGCATCTCCGATTTTATATCTACATTTGAGTGAGGTGGAAGGGGCGATGTGGCATTAATCAACACAAGACAGAACAAGAGGTGACATTAATAGGGTATTAATTTCATCAACACAAGACAGAACAAGAGGTGACATTAATAGGGTATTAATTTCATCAACACAAGACAGAACACGAAACAATGGGTATTGAATAGAAGTGTTTGTAGAAAGCCTATTGGTCCATATTTCTTGATGCTTCTATATTGGAGCGGAGTCTTGAGGTGGGTAGAATATAATTGTGCAATAATTGGCTGTTGATTGCTGGTGTTGACTTCTTGATGTGTAGTGCCTCGCAAACGTCAAGCCGCCTGCTATCGCTGTATCTATCGATGATTTCTGTGTTGTTTACTAGGATTTCTCTGGCGATGGTTTGGTTGTGGGAAGAGATTATATGTTCCTTAATGGAGCCCTGTTGCTTATGCATCGTTAAACGCCTAGAAAGAGATGTTGTTGTCTTGCCTATATACTGGGTTTTTTGGAGCTTACAGTCCCCAAGAGGGCATTTGAAGGCATAGACGACGTTAGTCTCTTTTAAAGCGTTCTGTTTTGTGTCTGGAGAGTTTCTCATGAGTAGGCTGGCCGTTTTTCTGGTTTTATAGTAAATCGTCAGTTGTATCCTCTGATTTTTGTCTGTAGGGATAACGTTTCTATTAACAATATCTTTCAGGACCCTTTCCTCCGTTTTATGAGCTGTGGAAAAGAAGGAAAGTACACAAAGGAAACGAGCATAGGAATGTGCCTAAATGCCAACAGCGACTGCCCAGACAGGTACAAGAGAAGTGTTGTTAACGCATCTGTCGACCGTGCTCTCAGCCACAGCTCAGAATGGAAGCAAGTCGACAAAGAACTCTGTAGGGTAAGGCAGGTCCTAGTCAACAACGGCTTCTCCAATGGTTTCGTCGAAGACATCATAAGAAGGAAAGTGAAAAGCCATGCAACCTCTGAAGAGACAACTAACACAACACCTATACCCCCTATTAGACTATTTTACAGGAACTTCTTTTCCACATATATATATATATATATATATATATATATATATATATATATATATATATATATATATATATATATATATATATATATATATATATATATATATATATATATATATATATATATATATATATATATATATATATATATACATATGGAGATGCTATGCCAATGATGATACTCTCCAAAACCTTAATGTTGTCTTGAGTCGGATACAGTTGCACAATAACAGTCCCTTTCAAAGCTGGAGAAATTTCTGACCTGGAGAGCGTGCAAAGATCCTTTACAGCTAGAATCTACAGTCAATAAATAATCTAAATTACTGGGACCGGCTAAAATCCCTAAATCTGTGTTTTCAGAGCGCTGGCAGGAGAGTTATTGAGTTATATAATAATTTACACTTGAAAAATATTAGAGGGGGCTGGTCCCAAACCTGCACACAAAAATAACACCACATGAGACCAGAAGGCATGGCAGGATGTGCAGAATACCCCCCCCCCCCACCCCACCGACAATCCCCCGCGTTGATGAACAGATGTGCAATAGGTACTCTGAGAGAAAATTCTATCAACATCTGAGGCCCGAGACTTCAACATGCTTCCACACCTAAGGGATCGAAGGGTATGACACGAAAAGTATTATCTGTGGTGTTTATATCTTGGTGTATGTTTCTTGTAAATTATTTCCTTTACCTAATATTTAGGTATATGTGGTGATGGTTTTGTCTAGTGCAGTTTAACCCCCTTTCCTTTTTGGCAGTCTATTGCTATTCAAGTTCTTGATAACTTTACCCAGACGTGGGGCTAGATCTGTGAAGATAAGAGGTACTGAGGCCCTATATAGAGAAAGAAACGAATAGAACCCGAGTTACTGGCTTAATAAGGCTGTAACAATGGTGGCTCACCCAAGTGTCAGCATGACGGAGTCTGGGAAGAGTGAGCAGTGACTGCGGACGCGGCTTGTTATATACCCGGGACAATCTCCCCCTTCACCCTCTTCCATCCCGCCCTCTTCTCTCCCCTCCCAACCTCCATCCTGCCCTCTTCTCGCTCGTCTTCCATCCCGCCCTCTTCTCTCCCCTCTCCTCTTCCATCCTGCCCTTTCTCGCCCCTCTTCCAACCCGCCCTTTTCTTCCATCCTGCTCTCTTCTCGCCCCTCTTCTTTCCCTGCCCTCTTCTCGCCCCTCTTCCATCCTGCCCACTTTTCGCCCCTCTTCCATCCTACTCTCTTTTCGCCCCTCTTCCAACCCGCCCTCTTCTCGCTCCTCTGCCATCCTGCCCTCATCTCTCTCCTCTTCCATCTTGCCCCTCTTTCATCCTGCTCTCATCTCTCGCCTCTTCCATCCTGCCCTTATCTCGCCCCTCTTCCATCCTGGCCTCATCTCTCTCCTCTTCCATCTCGCCCCTCTTCCATCCTGACCTCTTTTCGTCCCTCTTCCATACTTCCCTTATCTCGAACCTCTTCCATCCTGGCCTCATCTCTCTCCTCTTCCATCTCGCCCCTCTTCCATCTTGACCTGTTTTCGTCCCTCTTCCATACTTCCCTTATCTCGAACCTCTTCCATCCTGGCCTCATCTCTCTCCTCTTCCATCTCGCCCCTCTTCCATCCTGACCTCTTCTCGTCCCTCTTCCATACTGCCCTTATCTCGACCCTCTTCCATCCTGACCTCTTCTCGTCCCTCTTCCATCCTGACCTCATCTCTCTCCTCTTCCATCCTGCCCTTATCTCGCCCCTCTTCCATCCTGCCCTCATCTCTCTCCTCTTCCATCCTGCCCTAATCTCTCGCCTCTTCCATCCTGCCCTTATCTCGCCCTTCTTCCATCCTGGCCTCATCTCTCTCCTCTTCCATCCTGCCCTTATCTCGCCCCTCTTCCATCCAGACCTCTTTTCGTCCCTCTTCCATACTTCCCTTATCTCGACCCTCTTCCATCCTGGCCTCATCTCTCTCCTCTTCCATCCTGCCCTCACCTCTCTCCTCTTCCAATTTGCCCTTATCTCGCCCCTCTTCCATCCTGACCTCTTCTCGTCCCTCTTCCATACTGCCTTTATCTCGACCCTCTTCCATCCTGACATCTTCTCGTCCCTCTTCCATCCTGACCTAGCCTCTCTCCTCTTCCATCCTGCCCTTATCTCGCCCCTCTTCCATCCTGCCCTCATATCTCTCCTCTTCCATCCTGCCCTTATCTCTCGCCTCTTCCATCCTGCCTTTATCTCGCCCCTCTTCCATCCTGACCTCTTCTCGTCCCTCTTCCATACTGCCCTTATCTCGACCCTCTTCTATCCTGGCCTCATCTCTCTCCTCTTCCATCCTGCCCTTATCTCTCGCCTCTTCCATCCTGCCTTTATCTCGACCCTCTTCCATCCTGACCTCTTCTCGTCCCTCTTCCATCCTGACCTCATCTCTCTCCTCTTCCATCCTGCCCTTATCTCTCATCTCTTCCATCCTGCCCTCATCTCTCTCCTCTTCCATCTTGCCCTCTTTTCGCCCCTCTTCCATCCGGCCCTCATCTCGCTCCTATTCCATCCTGCCCTCATCTCTCTCCTCTTCCATCCTGCCCTCATCTCGCCCCTCTTCCATCCTGCCCTCATCTCGCCCCTCTTCCATCCTGCCCTCATCTCGTCCCTCTTCCATTCTACCCTCTTCTCGCTCCTCTTCCATCCTGCCCTCATCTCGCTCTTCTTCCATCCTGCCCTCATCTCGTCCCTCTTCCATTCTACCCTCTTCTCGTCCCTCTTCTCGCAACTCTTCCATCCTGCCTTCATCTCTCTCCTCTTCCATCCTGCCCTTATCTCGCCCTCTTCCATCCTGCCCTCTTCTCACCCCTCTTCCATCCGGCCCTCATCTCTCTCCTCTTCCATCCTGCCCTCATCTCGCCCCTCTTCCATCCTGCCCTCATCTCGCCCCTCGTCCATCCTGCACTCATCTCGTCCCTCTTCCATTCTACCCTCTTCTCGCCCCTCTTCCATCCTGCCCTCATCACGTCCCTCTTCCATCCGGTCCTCTTCCATCCAGCCCTCTTCTCGCCCCTCTTCCATCCTGCCCTCATCTCGCTCCTCTTATATCCTACCCTCTTCTCACCCCTCTTCCATCCTGCCCTCATCTCGCCCCTCTTCCATCCTGCCCTCATCACGTCCCTCTTCCATCCGGTCATCTTCCATCCTGCCCTCATCTCGCCCCACTTCCATCCTGCACTCATCTCGTCCTTCGTTCATCCTGCCCTATCACGTCCCTCTTCCATCCTGCCCTCATCTCGCCCCTCTTCCATCCTGCACTCATCTCGTCCCTCGTCCATCGTGCCCTCATCACGTCCCTCTTCCATCCTGCCCTCATCACGTCCCTCTTCCATCCTGCCCTCATCACGTCCTTCTTCCATCCGGCCCTCTTCTCGCCCCTCTTCCATCCTGCCCTCATCTCGCCCCTCTTCCATCCTACCCTCTTCTCACCCCTCTTCCATCCTGCCCTCATCTCGCCCCTCTTCCATCCTGCACTCATCTCGTCCCCCTTCCATTCTACCCTCTTCTCGCCCCTCGTCCATCCTGCCCTCATCACGTCCCTCTTCCATCCTACCCTCTTCTCACCCCTCTTCCATCCTGCCCTCATCTCGCCCCTCTTCCATCCTACCCTCTTCTCACCCCTCTTCCATACTTCCCTTATCTCGAACCTCTTCCATCCTGGCCTCATCTCTCTAATCTTCCATCCTGCCCTCACCTATCTCCTCTTCCATCTTACCCTTATCTCGCCCCTCTTCCATCCTGACCTCTTCTCGTCCCTCTTCCATACTGCCCTTATCTCGACCCTCTTCCATCCTGACCTCTTCTCGTCCCTCTTCCATCCTGACCTCATCTCTCTCCTCTTCCATCCTGCCCTTATCTCGCCCCTCTTCCATCCTAGCCTCATCTCTCTCCTCTTCCACCCTGACCTTATCTCGCCCCTCTTCCATCCTGACCTCTTCTCGTCCCTCTTCCATACTGCCCTTATCTCGACCCTCTTCCATCCTGGCCTCATCTCTCTCCTCTTCCATCCTGCCCTCATCTCTCTCCTCTTCCATCTTGCCCTTATCTCGCCCCTCTTCCATCGTGACCTCTTCTCGTCCCTCTTCCATACTGCCCTTATCTCGACCCTCTTCCTTCCTGGCCTCATCTCTCTCCTCTTCCATCCTGCCCTTATCTCGCCCCTCTTCCATCCTGCCCTCATCTCTCTCCTCTTCCATCCTGCCCTTATCTCTCGCCTCTTCCATCCTGCCCTTATCTCGTCCCTCTTCCATCCTGCCCTTATCTCTCGCCTCTTCCATCCAGCCCTTATCTCAACCCTCTTCCATCCTGGCCTCTTCTCGTCCCTCTTCCATACTGACCTTATCTCGACCCTCTTCCATCCTGGCCTCATCTCTCTCCTCTTCCATCCTGACTTCATCTCTCTCCTCTTCCATCCTGCCCTTATCTCGCCCCTGTTCCATCTTGCCCTCATCTCTCTCCTCTTCCATCCTGCCCTCATCTCTCTCTTCTTCCATCTTGCCCTCTTTTCGCCCCTCTTCCATCCTGGCCTCATCTCTCTCCTCTTCCATCCTGCCCTTATCTCTCGCCTCTTCCATCCTGCCCTTGTCTCGTCCCTCTTCCATCCTGCCCTCATCTCTCGCCTCTTCCTTGCTGCCCTTATCTCGCCCCTCTTCCATCCTGACCTCTTTTCGTCCCTCTTCCATACTTCCCTTATCTCGCCCCTCTTCCATCCTGGCCTCATCTCTCTCCTCTTTCATCCTGCCCTTATCTCGCCCCTCTTCCATCCTGACCTCTTTTCGTCCCTCTTCCATACTTCCCTTATCTCGACCCTCTTCCATCCTGGCCTCATCTCTCTCCTCTTCCATCCTGCCCTCACCTCTCTCCTCTTCCATCTTGCCCTTATCTCGCCCCTCTTCCATCCTGACCTCGTCTCGTCCCTCTTTCATACTGCCCTTATCTAGACCCTCTTCCATCCTGACCTCTTCTCGTCCCTCTTCCATCCTGACCTAGCCTCTCTCCTCTTCCATCCTGCCCTTATCTCGCCCCTCTTCCATCCTACCCTCATATCTCTCCTCTTCCATCCTGCCCTTATCTCTCGCCTCTTCCATCCTGCCTTTATCTCGCCCCTCTTCCATCCTGGCCTCATCTCTCTCCTCTTCCATCCTGCCCTTATCTCGCCCCTCTTCCATCCTGACCTCTTCTCGTCCCTCTTCCATCCTGACCTCATCTCTCTCCTCTTCCATCCTGCCCTTATCTCTCATCTCTTCCATCCTGCCCTCATCTCTCTCCTCTTCCATCTTGCCCTCTTTTCGCCCCTCTTCCATCCGGCCCTCATCTCGCTCCTCTTCCATCCTGCCCTCATCTCTCTCCTCTCCATCCTGCCCTCATCTCGCCCCTCTTCCATCCTGCCCTCATCTCTCCCCTCTTCCATCCTGCCCTCATCTCGTCCCTCTTCCATTCTACCCTCTTCTCGCTCCTCTTCCATCCTGCCCTCATCTCGCTCCTCTTCAATCCTGCCCTCATCTCGTCCATCTTCCATTCTACCCTCTTCTCGCCCCTCTTCTCGCAACTCTTCCATCCTGCCCTCATCTCTCTCCTCTTCCATCCTGCCCTTATCTCGCCCCTCTTCCATCCTGCCCTCTTCTCACCTCTCTTCCATCCGGCCCTCATCTCTCTCCTCTTCCATCCTGCCCTCATCTCGTCCCTCTTCCATTCTACCCTCTTCTCGCCCCTCTTCCATCCTGCCCTCATCTCTCTCCTCTTCCATCCTGCCCTCATCTCGCCCCTCTTCCATCCTGCCCTCATCTCGCTCCTCTTCCATCCTGCACTCATCTCGTCCCTCTTCCATTCTACCCTCTTCTCGCCCCTCTTCCATCCTGCCCTCATCTCGCCCCTCTTCCATCCTACCCTCTTCTCACCCCTCTTCCATCCTGCCCTCATCTCGCCCCTCTTCCATGCTGCCCTCATCACGTCCCTCTTCCATCCGGTCCTCTTCCATCCTGCTCTCATCTCGCCCCTCTTCAATCCTGCACTCACCTCGTCCCTCGTTCATCCTGCCCTCATCTCGTCCCTCGTCCATCCTGCCCTCATCACGTCCCTCTTCCATCCTGCCCTCATCACGTCCCTCTTCCATCCTGCCCTCATCACGTCCCTCTTCCATCCGGCCCTCTTCTCGCCCCTCTTCCATCCTGCCCTCATCTCGCCCCTCTTCCATCCTACCCTCTTCTCACCCCTCTTCCATCCTGCCCTCATCTCGCCCCTCTTCCATCCTGCACTCATCTCGTCCCTCTTCCATTCTACCCTCTTCTCGCCCCTCGTCCATCCTGCCCTCATCTCGCCCCTCTTCCATTCTGCCCTCTTCTCACCCCTCTTCCATCCTGAAGATCAACCTTCAATAATCATCTCCGGTAATGATCGTTACGTCATGGCCACAGTTCTGTCTTCCTCCAACACACAAAGTCTTACTTAATGTCTTCTTCCTACACTCTTGTCTGTCTACACTTGAAATACCTTCTACATGCTCAGTCTTTCTACATGCCCATACCTACACTACAGTCTCAGTCTCACTCTTATGTGGTAAATTATTGAGAACATCCCACGGAGAGTAGAGTATAATAGGATGTCGAGTCCCGTGGTAGACGTATACATCACACAAAGTATATGCTTCCCTCGATATACATAACCACAGGGAGTATATGCCTTCATCTGTGGACTATACATCAAAGTATATGCCTCCCACTGTAGCCTTATACACCCCACAAAGTATATGTCTCTCTCGCTAGACGTAACCATCACATAAAGTATATGCCTCCCTCGGTAGACGTATACGTTCCATAAATTATATGTCGCTCTCGGTAGTCGTATACACCCCTCAAAAGATTGTCACTCACGGTAGCCGTATACACCTCACAATATAGGTCACCCGAGGTAGTCGTATACACCTCACAATGTATATGTCACCCTCGGCAGCCGTATACACCTCATAATGTATAAGCCACTCATGATAGCCATATACACCTCAAAATGTATGTCACCCTCGGTAGCCGTATACACAACTCATAATTAGAGAGACGTGAACGTGAAGGTAAGCAATTGAAGGAAAGTTGAAGTTACGGAAAACTACATCAAGAACTATAAATACCAAAATAAAAAATATTATATAAGCCTGAGAAAAAGCAGGTGTTGTGGCCAGGGCAGCTGTTGGTAAACCACCTCCTGATAAGGCTGCTTCTATAACTCTCCAACAACATGTTCAATAGATTCGACATAACAAACACAATCACTGAGAGGGGTGTCGACGAAATACATGCAGACTTTGTTACGCAATCCCCTCGGGAATCTCCGCCAGACTGTGTTACGCAAGCCCCTTGGGAATCTCCGCTAGCAGACTTTAAGATTATGGTTCTTAAAGGAAAAAAGAACCGGACAAATCCTCATCTGCTAAGTAATATTGAACAGATTCATATAGAAGCAAATTTGGCTTCTGACAGCTTCAATTACTTCATGCTCAGTATAACCAAACCATCAACAACATGTTCAGTATATCCCATACCATTAACAACATTCTCAGTACAACCAACATCATCAACAGCATGTTCAGTATATCCCATACCATTAACAACATTCTCAGTAAAATCAACATCGTCAACAACATGTTCAGTATAACCCTAACCATCAACAACATTATCAGTATAACCAACACCATCAACACCATGCATAGTACAACTCTCACCATCAATAACATGCTCAGTATAACTCGCACTATCAATAACATATTCAGTATAA